ATCATGGGTTCCGAGTTGGTGATGACCTTGTAGTAAACTTTATAAAATGATATGTTTTTCTAGGAAAGGGCTGAGAAAGATCCCAAAATTGTGTCTACTATTTGGAGTACTCTATAAGAACATTGCTTTTGCATAGTTTCCAAAGTACCAGTATTGATCAATAGCTATGTATGAATTCCCTACAATGTGCAAGGCGTCCTAGGCATAAAAGATATGTTAGCAAACCAAACAAGATCCCTGCCCAAAAGATGCTTACAACTTGGTGGGAGCAATATTAAGTAATAAACAATAAATAAGTTATATAGTACATTAGAATTTGGTAAATACTGTGAAAACAAAGTAATAAGAGAAAAGGAGGTAAGTATAGGGATTGAGACTTGGACTGTCAGTTTTAAAAGGATAATCATAAGAAACTTCAATTTGAATTGAGATTTGCATAAAGATCTGAAGGGTCTGAGGAATCATACAAGGAGATAATTTGGTGAAGATTATTCCTGCCGAAGGGAGGGCTAGAACAAAAACCCTATGTTAACCCTATGTTACATGGCTCAATAGAGTGGTAAGGAAACCATGGTAAATGAAATAGAGTTTATAAGGGCAAGAGAAGTCAGAGGTAAGATCAGAGAGTTAAATGTAGGTGTTAGGAGAACAGGTTGTGAATAACTTCATGAGGCAGAAGACTTTGGCTTTTACCTTGAATGAATAAGGGGTCAGTTCAGGATATTATAGAGAAGAGTGATTATGATATGATCTTCTCTGTATTTTAATTGGATAACCATAAGTGGTAAAGATAGAACTAAGATTTTTATGGTAAATTGAATGTATCACTTAAAGGACTTACAAGTCTTTGACCTAAAAATCTGGAAGGGTTCACTATCAGCTGAAATGAAAAGGCTGTGTGGAGCTATTTGTGGCAAGGGGTGGGCATAGGTTGAGATGTCTGTGAAGCAACCAACTTCAGTTGTTGAGGTAGCAGTTGACTATGTCAATTCAGATTTTATATCCAGGTCTGCAATATTATTTGGGCATTTGTTAAAATCATACACCTTGTGTATCAAATCTGCATGTTAAAATAAGTTTTCTACCTGTCTTTCTTTATACAGAAAAATAGTTTGCCTTTCACCTTAGGAGTTAAAGAGAGGAGCAAATTGAACTCCAAATAAGTACATAAAAAATTAGCAAAACAAGAAACAAATACTATAATGTAGAAACTGTTAAAGTGAAACATCAATTGTTTGAGATGGTATATAAAATTAATAATCCTCTTGCAAGAGTAAGAAAAAAAGTAAAACATAAAATATCAGCTTGGCAAAAGAAAAAAGTGGAATCACACTACAGATCCTGCATATATTAGAAGAGAAACCGAGATACTATGAACAACTTAGCAAACTCAGGAATTTGATGCAATGCATAAATTCTTTAAAAGGATACAGTTTATCCACACTGACAAAACAGATAGATAATTTTAAGGTCCTCCATAAGTATGGCAGGGGGTGAATTTGTAAATAAAAACTTTCCAACAAAGAAAATTTCACTTTTAGAGGACATATTTTGCCAGCTATTTAAGGAAGGAAGGAAGGAAAAAGAATTAACCAGTTTTACTTAGGCTTTCAGAAATCAGAGGATGATAAGAAAATTCTTAAATTATTTTATGAAGCCCTTTTAACTCTGCTCTAAAATATTAGCAAACACATTACAAGCAGAAAATCATAGACTAAGAATACTTTTCAGGAACATAGATACAAAAGTATTACAAAGGTTTTATCCAACTGAATCCAGCAATGTATTAGAATATTAATATATCTTGACCAAATGGAGGAGAATCCTAGGAGTACTTGGTAAGTTTAACATTTGAAAATCAGTGTAATTCACCATATAAAGAGAATGGGAAAAAAAACATAGATCATTTTCATAAGTAAAGAAAAGCATCTAATAAAGTTCAAATTCATTGATAAAAATTCTTAGTTAACTAGGAATTAAACTTAAATCTAAACTTAAATTTGAGAAACTAAATCTCAGGCAACTGTGAAAAACTGAGGAACATACTAAAATGTAAAACATTAACCTTTTCCCCTTAATAACAAGGGGAACTAGGGATTTAGCTCAGCAGCATAAGCGCCTGCCTTGAAAAGCAGGCAGTCGTGAGTTTGATCCCTGGTACCGATAAAAAGGAAAAAGACAAAAAAAAAAAAAAAAAGATTTTAACAAGGAAAAGATATATGCTGTCAAGATTACTTTCAGCACGTACCAGTCATCCTAGTTTATGCAGTAAGGTAAGAAAAACAAATAAGGTGAATATAGATTAAAAGGGAAAAAATACTTGTGTTTGTAGATGACATCGTTGTGTACATAGTAAACTCAGGAGTCTACAAAATAATATTTTATTGTAAGTGCACTCAACAAGGTTACAGAATACAAAGTCAGCTTGTGAGGCGGGGCAAAGATCCTAAATACTTTTATTCTAGCAGTATAATGAAACTGAAAACTTAAACTGGACTTGGTGGCACATATCTGTAATCCCAGCTAGTCAGGAAGCTGAGACAGTAGGAGTGTAAGGTCAAGGCCAGCCTGGGCAATTAGCAATGCCTGTCTTAAAGAGAAACAACCGGTATTATTAAAGACTTGAGATGTAGGTCAGTGATAATTTACATGTTTGTGGCTCTGGGTTTAATCCCCGGTATTGCAAACAAAAACATAATAAAATTTTTAAATATAATGCTTATATTAGCACCAAAAAATACCAAGTTATATAGTCATAAGTCTGTGGAGGAAATTAAAAACCTGGGGCTAGGGATTTAGCTCAGTGGATAAGCGCCTGCCTTGCAAGCGCGCAGTCATGAGTTCAATCCCCGGTACCAAAAAAAAAAAAAAAGAAATTAAAAACCTAAATGTAGAGAAATATTTATGGATTGAAAGACTGAAAATCATTTAAAGTTGCCTATTCGTTCTAAGTTGGTTGTTAGTTTAATCCCTGTCAATATTTTGGCAAGTCTTTTTTTATTGTCATTGTTAAGGACATAGACAGACTGATTTTAAAATTTATGTAGAACTGCAAAAGCTCCTCTAGGAGCCAAAATGATTTTGAAAAAAAAAAAAAAATTGGGAGATTTTATGCTACCTGATGTTAGTACTCCATATAAACCAATCCTGGGAATGTGGACAATGGATCAATAGAACAAACTAGAATAAAAAAAAATCCCACATATATATGATCAATTGGTTTTTGACCAGGTTGCCACGTCCAGTGGAGAAAGAAAAATTTTTAACAAAGGATGTTAAATAACTGGAAATCTCAATCTCTATTTTAACTGTTGACATAAAAATTGAGATAACAGATCAATACAAAACAGTAAATATTGGAAATAAAATATCTTTATAACTTGGGGATAGCCAAAGACTTCTTGGACATGACACAAAAGACACTTAATGATAAAAGAAAAGACTTGAGTCTGGTGCTCACCTGTAATCCCAGCACTCTGGGAAGCTGAGACAAGAGGATCTCAAGTTGGAGCACAGCCTGGGCGGTTTACCAACTTAGCAAGATGTTATCTCAAAATGAAAAAATAAAAAGGGGCTGGGAATGTAGCTCAGTGTGAAGGCTTTGGATTCAGTCCTTAGTACTGCAAAAAAGAAACAAAAGAAAAAACTTGATAAATTGGTCTTCAACAAAATTAAAACTTTTATTCACTAAATGATGTTATTAAGAAAGTAAATAGGTAAACCACAAACTAACAGTATTTGCAGTAAATACATCGTTAGAAAATTGAAGCCTAGAGTATATGAACAACATCGTATTTTCCTGGATCATTTACCCTTCCTTTTCCCAACTTTCAATTAGTTGGATAGCTCTAGGATATTTGTGCCATTTCTGACCTTCAAAAACCTGTTAATCAGTGTTTAACAAAAATAGTGTGATTAGCACTTGAAATTTTAAGTTGCAGAGATGGATATGAACTTGCTTTACTTGTTTGGATAGGCATTTCCCCTGATGTTTCATTTAAAAACCATTCTTACTCTAAGTTTCTTTTTTTCCAGCATCCTCATTCAGAATAAATAGAATTATCCTAAATTTTTTATTAGTTTATCAAATTGCTATTGTTGCAGTAATTGTGTCTTGCACTATTTTGTCTTTGTTCAGTTATTTAAACCCTTAATTGTGTAGCCTGGGAATCTAATCAGGGTTTAAAATACTATTTCCATTAAAAAGGACCGTTGAAGCCAGATGTGGTGGTATATGCCTTTAATCCCAGCATTAGAGAGGCTAACGTAAGAGATTGCAAGTTTAGGCCAGCCTGGGCTGCATAGCAAGAACCTGTCTCAAAAGGGAGTAGAGGTACTTTCAGTGGTAAAAATATATTTATCCATGACTGGGATCCAATTGTACTTTGTACTTTGGGAATGGCCTGTATGTACTGTTTTCACACAGTTGGATTTACATCACAGAAACATCAGGTATTTTACATAGACATGCTTTTTTTAAAAAATTATGAATGTATTATACTAAAAATTTGGTGACACTCTCTGGGGTACCAATCTATCCATATGGATAGATTGATAGAATCCAAAGTGAGTGATTTTATTTTTTGTTGTACTAATCCTTTTGTTCCTTAGTACATACTTTAGTAAACTTTGAAGAATAATTTCTGGACTTTGTCAGTTATTTTTGAAAACAGTAACACTCTAATTTTTAAAAGCCAATATATTCTTTTTTCTTCTTCTTCTTTTAATTTTTTTTTTCTTTGTTTTTTCCAGTACTGGGGACCAGACTCACGACCGCCTGCTTGCAAGGCAGGTGCTTATGCCGCTGAGCTAAATTCCCAACCCCTAAAAAGCCAGTATATTCTTAATCTAAATGTATTTTTGTCAGTATTTGGTTGAATGAACCTATACAACATATGTGAAGCAACATACAGAGGCTAAGACTGTAAATGGTCAAAGTTATAGAAACTGCATTTCTTAAACATGCTAGCCATCTAATTTGTTGCTATTTTTCTTTACAGTTCCAGCTTCTAGCTTCTGCTCTGTTCAAATCTGGTTCAGACTTTACAGCTTTAGGTAAGTATGCCAGTGTTATCTCTCCAGTTAGGTGCCCTGGCATTTGAAAGGTTGGTTTTTAGTTTCTTTTAAATGAAACATCAGGAATAAATAAATACAATGAAACATCAGGATGGCATCCATCCAAACAAGTGGAACGAGTGCAAAAATAGTATGTAGCATTATGACAGCTTGCTAACAGCTGAGTCTCCAACACTGGTTAACAATTCGTGGCCAAGTTTGGGATTCCTGTTATAGCAGTTGTTGCATTAAGATGTGAATACATGGCAGTAGGGGCATGGTCAAAATAAATTAACCCCGCTTTGGAATTCTGTTTCTATTACTTATATATTGTGAGATTATACTTGATTAAATGTTTTTTCTAAGCGAAGTCTTCGTGGTAAGGTGCCAGCCCTGCTGCTGGCTAATTTTAAAAGTAATTTGGGAGTAGGAGTAGGGCTCATTTCTAGAGCATGCATAAAGGCCTGGCTTTAATTCCAAACACTACAAGAAAAGAAAGAAGAAGAATGAACAAGTTACTTAACCTGTCAATTCATAAGAGTACTTACCTAAATTGTTGAAAGATGTGAAATAGTGATGGAAACCACTTAGCACAATAAAATGTTTAGAAATGCTTTATTTGGGATGTTATTATTAGTATGATTATTATTATCATCATCTGCCTTTACAGTATAATAAGTAGATTGGGGTCAGGAATAAATTCAACCTGTATGCTAATTTTAATAATGAAGAATTTGATATATTTATAAACAAGACATAATTTTCATAGTTTAATACCTATTTAGAGTTCCTAGTTCTTGCTCTCATTCATTTTCTGTAAGACTTACTTTTTACTATTAACAATTAGAATTGAAATAAAATGGGTTACTTATCAAACTTTTCATTGTATAGATGACTTTTTTTTAGCCCCAGGACGCCCCTCCAAATTAATCTAATTTATACCAACCTCTGAGAATTAAATAAAAGTGCTTATTACTGTTATCTGTAATATTTAAGAGAATCAGAAAATTGAGAAGTAATTTATAGACAGTGACATTATTGGAAAAATGAGTGATTTTGGAGATAAATAACCTCAAGGGGTCTTTATTTTAGTGTTTCTTGTGGTTAGAGGCACCTTTGAGATTGAAGTGAGTCATTTTGTTAATTTTAAGAGCTGCATTTTCTAGACAGCATTGAAGCAACGTATGTAATAGCTCACCTTGGAAAATACAGTCTGTAGACTATGTACCTTTTTTTAGTCTTCACACCTTCCTTTAGAAGTTTATAGTCCAAATATTATATGAAATTACAAATTCAGACAACTTTATAAAACATTTTATGCCTAAAATACAATGTTTTTGGTACTCTGTTGATATTGTAAATAGAAGTCTTCAGCATTTCACAGCATTTGCTTATGCCCTTTTAACTTTTTATGTTTGCTGTATCCTTCAAACTTAAGATCTCAGCAAGATACTTTTCTTTTATTGCCTATCTGTAGTCCACATGTTTATAGTGGCTCTTCATATGAAAAGGTTAGTATTAGAAATAGGAAACACCGTTTCTAAGATGATAGTGTGTAATGTATTAACTGGTGATAGCTTACTGTTTTTTTTTTCTTTTGTAGTTCTGAATTACTTGTATTGTACCCTTATACTGTTTTGTTTTGTTCTGCTTTTTTTTCTCTTTTTCCTTTTAAATAAATAAAAAAAAAGAAATAGGAAATACTGATTTAAAAAAAAAAAAAAACCCCTCATGTTCTGAGGAAATGGGGAAATTGCTCTATTTCTCCTTTACGACAGATAGGAAAAGCCAGCTAAGCTCTGTGTTGATAACACATTCTTACAGATTATTTTTTACAGCAGTCATTGTTTTCAGTCAAAATGTTAGTGATATAGAAATAGCTAGTTAATCCTATTTTTGATGGGACCAGATGTTATTCTAAGCATTTTTCATGTCATACTTCATTTAATCCTCACTACTTAATGATCCCTTTTTGTGTATGAAAACTGGGATGCAAAGAGGCTAAAGTACCTTGCCCAGAAATAGTGCTAGTGTGTGATAAAACCATGGTTCAAACCTTGTCACTATGGCTTCTGAGTTCTATACTGGCTCTCACAGAGTTTAACATTTTCCACGTCTCTGAGGATAAGTTCCTCATTCCATTTTATAGTGAAAATACAATGAGAGAAATGTAGTGATTAGAAATAAGGGTTTATAATTAGTATTATCTTTTTGTCCTACATCTGCTATTTATGTCATTGTGTTACTATGTTCCCACCCCTTTTTATTAAGTGGTTTTTAAAAATTTACTACAAAACTTAAGATTCTCCTTAAAGGACTTGTCTCAGTCTACCCCCTACCTTCAAATTTAATCACACCTGGTACACACATCACTGTATAAAGGGACATATAGACACAATTGATTCTCATAGTTCAAAATAATTACATTTGGGCTGGGGATTTAGCTCAGTGGCATAAGCGCCTGCCTTGCAAGCAGGCAGTCGTGAGTTCGATCCCTGGTACCGATAAAAAGAAAAAAGACAAAAAAAAAAAAATAAAATAAAAATAAAAAAAAATAAAAAAATAAAATAATTACATTTGTAAAGTCATGAGGAAAGCCAGGTGTGTTGGCACACGCTATGCTGCCAGCACTCGGGAGGCTGAGGCAGGAAGATCACCATGAGTTCAAATAAGCAAGTTCAAGGCCTGCTGGGCTACTTAGTGAGACACTGCCTCACTTAGATGGATAGGTAAGTAGTAGATAGGTGACAGATAGATAGATAGATAGATAGATAATAAGGTCATGAAGAACTTTGAATTATAATCGCAGCATTATTGCTCCTCTGAGAAAGAGGTTTCTGTTAGACTCTTCAAAATATATTTTTCGGCAGATCAATATAGAATCTTCACTTATAAGTATTTCTGTTTAAAGATTCCTTATTTAATATATACTATTGTTTCATTAACATTGAACTCATGGTCAGCAGTACCATAACTCATACCTGAATGAAGCTTACCATGTAAATACATGAAAATTTTCTGTAAAGCACATCGTGGCTTTCCTACAGTTGGAAGCACTCGACACTTGGCCAATTTAAATAGTAAAGTCACCGAAACACAAAAATGTGGAAAATATGGCACTAAACAGAATAGTATAAGAGCTGAAATAAGGCATAGATCCTCACATAGTTTAACCTTGGATGATATGGCTTGAAACTATTTCTACAAAACTATATGAGATCTTTTGTATTAACTGAAGTGATACTACTTATTAATCCAAAACAGGGATGTACCATAACTTAACCACTCATCTAATGATAAGTTTCAATTTCCTTCTTGGTAAATAATAAAAATAAAATGTACTTTTGAGGATCAGATAGCACATTGCTCTATAATTTGAATACTCAACAAGTAAAAATTGATGGACTCAATATGGGCATGGGTTCACATTCTGTGTCTTCCCTCACTAGTTGTGAGACCTTATTAAAATACTAACTCTAAGTCATCTGAAAATGGATTTTATGCACCTTATTATTTTTGTGGCAGTATAATGGGGATTTAGCTCAGCAGCATAAGCCCCTGCCTTGCAAGTGTGCGGTCATGAGTTTGATCCCCGGTACCGATAATTAAAAAAAAAAAAAAAGACACATTGCTGTTGATCCCCCTCAAAATACTTTCCCTCACCTCAGATACACTTAGCCCATTATTCTTGCCAGTTTCTGAAGCAGTTCTTTAAGTCCTGTTTCATGAGTGTGTTCATGAGGCATGATAAAAACATACATATGGTGATTGCTACCATCAGTGGAAAGATGGGCTTATAAAAGTGTTACAGTGTGTTGCTACTTTCACTGCACATGAGACCATGCAACTAACTTCTGGCTCTTCCCCAAAGCCAAAATGACCATAAAGGTAAATATTTTTAATTGATTCAACTTCACTAGAGCAATTTTAAGTATGAAAGAAGACTTCTAGCACTGCTTGAGAATGTGGCAAAAAATGTGACTGTAAGTGTATTTGAAGCAAGAGAGAAGGGTATTTTGAGAGGATTTAATGACAATATGTCTTCTGTAATTTTTAAAAGATCAAACATACACTATTTTTCAATCATGCTTTGTAGAAGAAATAGCTTGCACAGAGTAGAAAGTAAAGGTTTCCCTGCCTTTTAAGTCATATGATCTCATGAAAATGCTATTATTTCATTGGAATATGTCATAGAAATTCACTCTCTTCTCTTAAAAATATAATGTATCCTGCAGTTTTACAAATTTAGTGTAAAATAATAAAACAAGATAAAAACCATATAGTTAAATATGCTTTTTAAAGTTACACGTATTTATCAAATTAGTCACACAATCACCCAGTACAAAAACAAAGAAGTAAGCCTTTTTATTACAATACTTAAAACTGTATCCTGTCTGAGAAGTACACTCTAAAGAGCATGAAAGTACAGAAATCTTATTTTTGCTGGTGTAATATAAGTGTAGTAATTCTAGGGCTCTTTTTGGGTATATTTTGAGTTGAGCAAATGAATAAATATTATAATGTTGCTGAGAGTCAAGGTATTCCTAGTGGAAGAAAGGGAAGCGAAATGGGATAAAAAAGAATCCTGTGAGCCTCTTTAAAAAAAAAAAAAACAATTATCAATAAAAGCATGAATTGATGATTTTGTAAAAAAATATATGTGTTAAGCCTACAAATGATGGCACCAAGATCAGCATAGTTGATCTTGGGTTTCTAAATATAATTTGCCACCAAAAGGAATGAGGGCTGTTAGGAGAAATGCCTGACTCCAGAACTATGCAAGGGTGAATTTGGAAATCTTCCTGTATCAGAAAAGTAAGGGCATTTGCCTAAATTGATGGGCAATTTCCAGAAGACACAGAAGCCAACTCTAGAGGCCAAATCTGGAACAATATGAGTCTCAAAATGAGTGATGATAGTATTGAGTATAATGTTAAGCAGCAGGAGAACTCATGAATATATATTGACCCAAACAAATAAGTAATATGGAGAGAACAGACAAGAAGCTCTTTATAATAAATATTGACTAACAACTGTAGAAGAAATTGTAGAATTAGAAAGTCACCATAATATAAATAATAATTATTTCAGAAAGAATCATTGGTATTAGTAATCATTGGGAAATAAGATATTTGTGTAATATCAAACCAGCGCTTAATCCAGTTAATTAAAAAGAACAACTTTACATTGGAGAAATTTGTAATATACCAGTTTAAACACATGATCAAAGTTAATGTCACTGGTATTGACAAATTACCATGTATGCTCGAAGAAGAATACAAAGGTTTCCTTTAGTATTTTGGCTAAAACAAGCTAAAGCATCTGATCATGAAAAATGAATCATAGAACCCAAATTTAACATAATACTTGTAACTTCTCTGTATTCTTGAGAAATATGTGTCATAAAAGACGGAGAGGCTAAGGAACTATTTCAGATTAAAGAGACCTGAAACTAAATATAGGGCTAGGAATGTAGCTCAGTGGTAGAGTGTTTGGCTAGCATGCACAGCGCTCTGCATTCAATCCCCAGTACCCCCCCAACAAACTATGTAGAATTCATAATCTTTAATTGGATTTTAAATTTGTGGAGAAAATGACAATAGACAAGATTATTAGGGCATCAGTGTTAAATTCTCTGAACTTAGTATACAGTGGTTGTATAAGTGGCTGTTCTTGTTCTTATCTGAAATGTGCTCAAGAATTTAGGGGGAAGATGTATAAAATTTATTCTTAAGTAGTTTTACAAAATTTTTCTAAGTTATAAACACACACGTAAGAATCAGTGTATCTGCAAAATGTTAACAGCAGATGAATCTTAAGTGAAGAACACATCCAAGTATTCACTGTACTCTTGAAACTTGTCTGTTGATTTGAAAGTTTTCAAATGAAAAAAACAATTTGGAAAATTTTAAAAACATAATGTAGAAAAAAGATTATAATCTCACCATTCAGAGATAAGCTTTGTTAACTTTTTGGAGTATTTCCTTCCGTACATTTCTATGATGTCATTGTAGGTTTTGATAAAAGCTTAGCTCAAAGGAAGAAACATTTTCCCCTCAAACGTAAGACAATAATAATAAAAAAATTTTAAGAATAAAAAGGAATGTACCATTCTTGAGATAGTTTTTTTTTTTTCTTCCAGGAAACTGGTATTATTGGCAGTGTTACGTTCTATTCCTACTCTTCACAAGATTAAAACAGATTGGGCCTAAAACTGTATTCTGAGTTGAATGGAAATCAGACTGATTTGAAGCAGTCCTCATTGACCCATCCTGGCATCTATAACTCTTTATAGCTCTAGTTCTGTTTCTGATGGTACTCTGCAGTGGTCGCATGTCTCAGCTAGCCATTTCAACACAGAAAAATCACATATTTTGTCATTTAAGTATCTCATTTGTAAAAAATCTGAAGCACCGAAAATCAGTGTACCAGATGACTGAAAGAAGGGGGCATCTTATTGAATGTTGTGTTGGGTAGTAGAAACTTGAAAATTAAACTTTTACCAGAGGTTAAAAAAGAAGTATCTTTAGAGTAACAGTCTCCACCTTCTAATAATGTCATCTACTTTCTTTATCTGAAAAAAAAATAGTTCATTTTACATCCTTACATTACCAGCAGAGAGCCTGATATGTAGTACTGTACCATGGCATTTATTATGGTACCATGGTACTCTTCTATATACTGTTGGTTTCTTTCAGTCACTTCACTGAGTTCTCTGATAGTACTTCTAGCTCTCAAAGCTCTCTAAAAGTCGTTTTCATTTTGATTTTATTTTTATTATCAAAATATTCGGTGAATCAGAAACATTAAAAGGTAAGAAGAAAAGGACTAAAATTTCTTTAATGGACTAACAGAGGAAAAAACTTTATAAGGAATCGAAATCAGTATTAGTTACTAAAGTGCCAGTCTTTCTCCTAGATACTTGACATATAATTGCATTTAATCACAATGATCTTATAAACAGGATTATCACACATTTACAGCGGCAGAAACAGAAGTGCTGAAAGCTGCTTAGCAAAGCTGATAATACCTAAGTCCACAGTACTCCCAAGTTGTAGAATAGGGATCGTATTGACAGAGTCTGTCTGGTTTTGAAGCTTGATTTTTTTTTTCCCCATTAAACATTTGCTGCTGGTTTGAACTAATTTTTCTATTATGTGTTGAGTTTTAATCACAGTGGATGAGTTTGTTTGTTCTGTCTTCTTCACCAGGCTTTTCGGATGTGGATCACACCTATGCTCAAAGAACTCAGCTCTTTGACACCCTAGTAAATTTCTTTCCTGACAGCATGACTCCTCCTAAAGGCAACCTGGTAGACCTCATCACACTGTAACTGAAGAGTCACTGGCCACACAAGTGGTGAACAGGTGTCACTTTCAGTGTTTGGATTGCAATTCTGTTGACTGAAGTAAAGCTGCAGTGATTGAGGACTGGCACCAGTGTGGACGGGATCTTTACCATCACAAGTTTTAACCCTCTTCCTTCATACCTGACCTCAAACCCATTCTCATCTTATTCCTAAATTAGGCTAATAAAGTGAAATTGGTATTCTTTCCATTTAAATATATATTTTTCTTTAATTTTTAAGAGTTAATGAGTATAAAAGAAAAAAATTGAGCAGTTTATCTTTTTCTAATTTTTCATTTCTTTTAAATTGGAAGAACAGCACTACCAATAGACTCAGTGCTACAAGAATTTGGAGTTTTGGTGCTGGGTTGTTTTGCCTTTATTTCCTCTTTCTTCCCTTCCACTTTACCTCACATCGACAGCTGCTTATAAGTAGTGTCACTAGTTTACTTCTTTGTTCTTATACAAGTGTAGAGTTCTGTAGAACAGTTGATGTATGTTAAAATGATGTATGTGGTTGACTTGTGTCCTGTTACATTAAACAGTAGACAGGATAGAGGGCTCAAATTTTCATCTATTTTCATAGGACTAAGAAATAAAATTCAGGATTGAGCAAGATACCCTATCAGAAATTGGTATACAGTGTTTCATGTTACATTTATGTAGCTATTACAGTGGCATTTGGCTTTCACTCACAGAAACTGAAACTAAGAAGAGCCATTATAAAAATGGTTTAAGTACTGGAAACATCCAGTAGTGATTAATGTTTGTTATCTTTGTAGCAATTCTGAAAGAAAATGACTTCTCTGCTAAAGCTATTTAGAACTAGGGCTCTCATTTCTCATGTGAGTTACCTCTTTTTAGCGGTTCATTTGGAGGCACATGGGGGGTGATGGGTCCATACTTGGGTGTTCATTCTTTCTGTACATCTTTTATCTCCTTGTGAATACTGATATGTTGAAGAGTAATGATTGTGATTATCTGTTGTTCTACAGCTGACAGTTATGTCATAAGTACCTAAACAACCTTTTTTTAAAATAGTACCAAAAAACCCTAAAGGTACAATTTTTTTTTATTAAATAGGTATAATAGATGGTTTTTTTCAGGGTTCTGTTTTTGTATAGGTACATGTCTTCTGGTGAGATTCTATGAAATGTAATATGAAAAGCCTAGACATGTGCACAGAAGGTGTGCTTTATGACACTGACCATGCTGATGGCAAACTCAGTGTATTGTGCATCTGTCCACTATTAAGAGTGAATGACTTCATGGAATTGAGTACCTCTCTGAGGAATAAGATTAAGCCTTACCAGAGAGAAAAAACTGATGTGTACTTTCAAAAAGTGTTATTATAAGAATGAGACTCGAAGATGTCTTTTCACTCTGTCTATATGTGGTTTTACATCTTTTGGGGATGGACAGAACATATTTTGATCAGTTTTAGGTTTCAATTGTGGATTTCTTGACTTTCCAAGCATCCCAAAGCAATTAATAGTGATTTGTTAAACGTTTAGATTTGTACCTTATGAAAAGTATACTACATAATCAGCAAGTACCAAATTGTATAGATGCATAATAACTAATTGATAATACAGTTGGATAAATCCATTCTATTTGCAGACTTGTACAGTTTTGTAAAATATTCTGAGAGACAGCCAAAAACATAAAATATTAATATCACTAACATTATATAGCCTGTTGGATTTTATTTTATGGAGACATGCAAATCAGAATGTTGATAAGGAAAAATTTAAACTTGTTAAGACTATCAAATTTAAAAGCTCCAATTTGGTTACTGTGAATTTTGGCACTTTAAAAACATTAACTAAATGAAATTCTGCAGCCTTTCACCATTCTTACAGTGATTTCTTTGTAATTTTCAACAGTTCCTCAGGCTTTATATTACTTCATATAGTTCAGTTTTTATTTCAGTGAGTTTTTTTTCTAACTGCTTTTCTCCACTAGTTTTTGTTTTGTTTGTTTTAAATACACCTATTTTATCTTTCCTTTTATTTCGGTAAAACTTTTTTTCACTATCATGTTTAAATAGGGTTGAAATAATAGTGAATACTTAGTGTGCCTAAGTGAGATAGAGTCACTGAGAAGGTAACTGACTTAAGTCAGAATCTCTACCTCAGGGCCTTACTGGGCACTGCCAGAATTGACTGCAGAGAATATTGTGCTCCCTATATCTATGCCCGAGACTGGCATATTGTTCACATCCTACATCAAAACTTTTATTTGAAACTTGGTTATATATTTTAGTGAGAAGCTACATGTATTTCCAAGAGTTCTAGTGATATATTGGTATTTAGGTGGCCAAGTACAGTAATACCTTGGTTTACAAACTGTTTGCAAACAATTTGCTTTGCAGTCCTTCACAAAATTGTAAAACAAGTTTGTCAACCAACATATCGTTACATATGTCTTATACTACTTAAAAATTTATTCATTCTGGGTTAGTTTCAAATTGAAAACCTGGCTTACACTTTAGACACGTTGATTAGTGAGGTATAATTTGCTTAGTTTATCCCTAGCTTCAACCTCATTCTCATTTCTCTTTTTCCTAGTGGAATATATTGTTTTCAACCAGAGATAAACTAAAGCTCCAATCATATTTTTCAGTGCTTGTATTTCATGAGAAATGATTTGATTTGCAAGTCACATCTTAAATGCATTTGCATTTTATTTTGTAAAATAACAGACACCTTGCATAACCAGCTTGATTAATTCAGACTGTATCACTCTTATTTAAGCAAAGGAATTCAGAGTTGGGTAGCTACTTCTGTGCTAACGCTGACAGCAACATTAACCTTTATCAAGGTCATCTTTTGAGATGTGGTTTTCCATTTATATTAAAATTGACCTGTCCATGTTTGATAAGTAAAAATTAATAAACTTAAGTTATTGTTTATCCTAGAAAAGCTAGTCATATTTAAAACTTTGTGATATAAGCTTGTAAAATGCATTCTTAGTGAAATATAAATATTGTATATAAATGGTTTCATTCCAGTGGATCTTTTCACATCTGCCTTAAAAGTGATATGTAGAGTTCCATCTTAACAGTTTCACTTAGTAAAACAGGATTTTAAAATTGAGCCAACAACTACAAACCTACAAATCTTAGCATTTAGTAGTAGAATAAGAATGATGCTTCTGCTGGGTCAAAAAGCACTTTATTCCTTGCATTGTACTGAGTTCCATGATAATTACATAGAGAAATTACCCTGTGATTGTTCTTAATGTGACATGGACTTCATTGAGTAAGGATCATTTGATTGTTTCTTGAGTAAAAGTTGTGTGAAGTCCTCAGCTAGCTTAGTGTGTTGTATCATAGTTGAAAATTACAGTTTGAGGCAATTTTTATGGGAGAGATCATTACATTGTGTAACAGTGTAAACTTACATAGCTATTAAAATATGACCTTCCTAATACTTATTTTCTGAAAAGTCCTTGTTTCTCCACATTGCCTGAATTTTCACCAAGTTTTAAGTAGTCTGTATTCTAGGATGTTCTGGCTTCCCCTAGAAAAAGACCCTAGTTGTTGGAGGAGTGTCATAGAGATCTGTATGTAATCGTACTTGTACATTAAGGTTTTGGACTTCTTCATACAAAGGTTTTTATTTTCCATATATTCTTTTGTGTTTTTTGCCCATGGCTTATATCTTCATGTGATTTGTTTTAATGTTAAAATGACTTCGCTGTTGAAGTTGCCTAGTCTAGAGGTGTATCAGTTGAAGGTTAGACTTTCCAAGTTTGTTGAAATCACATGGAACTGATTAGCTCGTCTGAACACCATGGCCGTAGTTTTGTTTTAGAACTCAGTCCAGTCTATTGACTTCTTCACCAAATGCTTGTTTTGTTTTTCCTCAATAAATGCTATTAGAGAGATTTTATTTATATGTGACTTTTTAACCTGGAATTCCTCCAAATACTGTGAATTGCATTACCATTTATTTTTCTCAGCTATTTATTTATTATTTTTGAAACAAGATTTTACTGTGTCGTTTGGCTAGCTTTGAACTCAGTGTGTAGCCCAGGCAGGCCTTGAACTTGTGGTGCTCCTCCTGCCTCAGCTTCTAAGTGCTAGGATGACAGGTGTGCACTGTGAAGAATAACCATAGCTGGCTATTCTTCATGTTCTTTAGCCCCAGACTTTTGTGACTTTCCGTAGCATTGCTTAAGATCAATGTATTTGAAAAAATCAAGTCAGAATGATTCTAAAGCAATATGCTCATCCCTGTTGATGACAAGCAACAATGAAATTAAAAATTACGTATTATTGAAGAAGTAATAACTTTTAGATATTGCCATAAAAACATATGCGTCATTTTCATTTGGAGATAGTAATAACAGCTGTGGCAGCTCTAATCAAGGAGCCCATGTTGGCTTCTTTTCCTGGCAGTAGGAATTATTGTCATAGAACTGTTAGAGTGCAAGTCTTTTGAGAGAACTCATGAAAAATCCTGTATACCACCAGAATTGCCATTTGCCTATTGTCTTACTGTGTTTTTAGCCTTTTTTTTTTTCCGTTCCCGTTTCTCATTGATTTTCAGCTGAAGTTGGAATTTCTATTAAGAATTGGCATACTCTGGTTTCTCTTCAGATCATATAAGTCGTTTTTGCCTTCTACTAGTAAGAATTGTCTTTCAGTTTCTGATGTAGTTGAATGTTAAGAATAGCTTTCTTTAGTGGCTGCGAAATGATTAATTTTTTTCCTAAATAAAAACAATACAAATGTATGAATGACTCTTCCCCTCAAGAGTGTGACTTTAGACCTACTTCTGAATAACTTAAA